CACACACACACACACACACACACACATACGGCAGGCAACTGGGATCCACATTGTGGAGGGATCACTGACTGTATGAGCGGCACTGCAGACAAGTGACATCTTCCCTGTCAGACACATGGCGATGATGGGGCAGCTAGATATACTATTATAACCAATAATACCGGAGTTACATATCTGCATTTCAAAAACAACACCGCTTTTTACTGTACATCCCTATCTGAGCAAGGCCCACAAGCCCCCGATGTGTCGCACGCCTGCCCGGGGCTCCAAACTCATACCTACGCGGCTCGTACATTCATTTCGGACCTCTGCATTGACTACGGCCTGTTCAGTAAACCTCTGCCCGTCACCTACCTCCTCCGAGCTGGCTTTCTCCTGCTTCAGCTTCCTCACTTTCTCTCCCTGCAGTGCTATAGCCTGCTCCACTTCTGCTCTTTCCGCCATGGTGAGACAAGGGAAGCCGGTTAGAAGAGCGCGCATGCGCAGCACAGTGTCACACTGCCAGGGAAGACTAGCCTGGCCCCTATTGGCTGATCTGATAGAACACCACCAGAACACAGCGCAACTCCCCCTAGTGGTCACAGCTTGAAACTGCACGCAAGTCATGAATGTTGGCCACTGCTGGCAAAGTGGAGGCAACCATGCCAATGTCACTGATCATAAGTACATCACAGTTTGATGGGACTTTTTTTTTAATTATGTCTCTGGTTATTGGCACCTTTTGTTTTTATTCTGCATTGTAAATTAACCTCTTATTGCACTGTCAAATGTCACTGATTGCAAGGGAAAGTCTTTTTAGTATTTGTTTATGGAATCTTCTTCCTCCTGAAGATATCACTAGTTTTGATTACCGTCATAAAGCTCATGTCACAAAGCTGAGGATACAGGATGAGGATACATATTTCAAGTGGCAGATACTTTCAGTTAAAGCTGACCAGTAGAACTTTGTTGAAGAAAATTAATTCACTTGACTTTCTAATAGTTGATGGCATCAAATCGATGATCAATTTCAATGACACAGTGACAAAAAAAGTCAGAGGAGAAGGATAGAAAGATTCTCTCAAACAAACAAAATTCTAAGAGTGAATGTGGTCTTCTTTTGAAAAACTCTTTTTTAATTTTAGTTTATTTAACTTTATTTTTTTGTATTTAATTTATTTAATTTTTAAAAAATGCTTAGTCTTTTTTAGTTTATTTAACTTTATCTTTTTAAACTTTTTTTTAACTTAATGCCTGGGAGCAGTAGCCACCCTGCTATTGAAAATTTCAAATTGCAATAGCCAATTGAAGGCTGGCTATTGCACCCGCCCACTGCCTGCTGTCAATCAGCAAAGGAGGGACAGGAAGTTCTCCATCAGGTCCTCATCTGCTGATTGACTAACTATGTAACTATATAAATGGGAAAGCAATGGAAGAGGAAGCTCCCCAAAGTACATCAATGGTGGTGCACTTTGATGTTGGGAGGTTGATCTCTTCACGTTGAAAGTGTCTTAAGCTGGCCATACACCTTGCTATTTTCGATTGGAAATTTTCCTTGCTGCCAAGAACCCTCTTTCGATTTTAGCTCAAATAGCCCATCAAGCACAGACCAATGTCGATTTCAATTACCGTTCGTTAGCAATACTAACTCAACGAAATTCGTCGATCGACAGAACGGATTTTGGTTTGCACACGGGCAGTGTTCTTGTGGCGATTTTTTCAGTACGAAAACGCCACTAATCCATTGATTTACGTCCGGTTCGAAAAACGTTTTCCAGCCGGCCCGATAGACAAAATTCGGCCAGGAGTACAGTAATTGTGGTCATTCACTTCCTATCAACTGGCCGATTATCATATGTAAACCTGATCGCGTTCCTTTCTTGAATGGTAATTGTAAGGTGTATGGGCACCTTTACACAACTCAGATTCTTCAGAGAAGTTGGGCCACTCAGGATTCCTGTTTCCATACTTTTATGCTGGCTATACAGATTGCTGAGCTTTTTCTTCCTAGCGGGGGATCAGCTCTAAGATTTTCTCAGTGGTGTTTGAACTGTTTACATGTCAGTGTCTAATGATGATGCAATTATATATTTTTAATCTTGTCTGTTTTTGTATTGTGATTTTAATGTCTTCCATATATTGTAAAGCGCTGCACAAACTGCTGGCTCTATATAAATCCTGTATATTAATAATAATAAGAAGAAGAAGCATCCAATGCACTCTTCTTTTTCCTTTATAACAGTGTTTGAGTGATACTCTAAGATACATCTTGCAAGGAATATCAAACATCACTGCAGGCATGCAACAGGTTATGCATATACACAGTCCCAATTCTCCACTGTTGACACACACGGCCCTAATTCTCCACTGTCAACACACACAGACCCCAAATCCTGCACCACACACAAAACTGACCCATAAGGCAGCTCATCGTATTGATGGGCCAGTAGTAGCTCCGACCCTACCTGGGAGTGCCTGTCTGGGACCACTGCTGGTATAAGCAGGCACCTGTGAACCAATGTAGGTTTTATGGTTCCTTATTCCTAGACCAACTGTTTTGTGCTGCCACTTTCCACCCTAGGTGACTGGAAGACTTTAATATCAAATACAGTCCAGAATGGGGGATGAGGATCTGTAGATAAGGAAGCAGGACACCCAGAAGAACATTGCAGGAAAGGCAAGGTTAAGTATAAACACACCAAGGGCCTTTATTCACACAATCCTGCCTAATGCATTTTAAACAACTCATTGAAGAAATAACACACAGAAGAAAAAAAAGCACCTTAGTATACTGGATCTGTTTATTTTTATTAACAAATTCAACATATTTATTAAAAAAATGACTATCACTCCCTATATTTACAAAGTCTCTCCTTTAGCTCTTTTCTGCACCATAACATGTAGTCTTGTTTGATGAAGCCATAGGGATGAATTCTGCATTTATACATTCTTAACTAACTTGTCCTCTTTCTAATTTCTTCTGCTAGGTCTTCCTTGGAAACGTCAACCTATTAACAGTAAAAAAAAAAAAAGTGAGAATTAGAGAGAGAGGCTGCATTGTAAAGATACAACATGGTAGTTATGTGCGTGTCACACACATCTCTAATTTATATCTCCATATCTAATTGATTTCTCTCTCTATTTACATATAGTCCCAGTGGTAGCCACCGCACTCTATTTGTAAGGTAAATGCTCAGATACTCATCAATGAAATTATATATAAAAATCCAAGGTAGGTCCAGAGGCACTTACAGGTCTTGCAGTGGAAATAAAGCATACAAATTGTATTGATATACACACACACATATATATA